AAAGGCTTCTTAAAAAACATGTTTATGGGTATTTCTTATTTGTTGGAACATTTTATTATTATTAGTATTATTTTTTAGTTTTTTTTAGTTTTTAGTTTAGGGCTGTCAAGCCCCTGAAAAGACATATAAGAACCATGAAAGTGGTCCAAGTCCACAAGTGTTTTGCTATTTTATGCTATATTGTTTATCTTGTAGCCAACGTCAAATCATCAATTTCTATTTTGGATGTACTATTTTATTACAGAAATGCTGTCTTCAACAGCACAGTTATCCCTGTTGTTCAATCAAATTCTAAGCTCTTCCGCTTTACGCACCCTGCATACTGCCAGATGGTCTTAAACGCATTCTCAGTGTCTATTTTACATTCTTAAATTTGTTTAGGTCTGCCATGCCAACCCCACAGAGAGAGCTCGTTTCATCCGTTGTATCTACAACCTGCTGCAGTCATCCAGTCCTGCTGTAAAATATGAAGCAGCTGGAACTCTGGTTACTCTGTCCAGCGCTCCCACTGCCATCAAGGTACAGCATCTAACTCCACAGTTGTTCTCATATACTTTTTCTGCATGGTGGTAAATGGAAGTTGAAGGGCATTGTTTACATGTTCTTTTTGTGTTTCAGGCTGCTGCTCAGTGCTACATTGATCTGATCATTAAAGAGAGTGACAACAACGTTAAGCTCATTGTTCTGGACCGACTGATCGAGTTGAAGGAACATCCTACACATGAGCGTGTGCTGCAGGTACACATGAGTGCATCACCTCGTTTGGAGACATTCATTCCACAAATGAAACCTAGCAGTAAGCTTGTTGCTGTGTCTTATACATAGGACCTTGTGATGGATATTCTGAGGGTTTTGACCACTCCTGATCTTGAGGGCCGCAAGAAGACCCTACAGCTGGCCCTGGACCTGGTGTCATCCCGCAATGTAGAAGAGGTGTGTGTCAATACCTTCCATTTTAAAGGATTGTTCACCCAAAAACTAACATTATCATCATTTATTCATGTCGTTACAAACCTTTATGATATGCTTTTTTTTAAAAGGGGAAAGAAAAAATGTCGAAAAATGTATTGGCCTCTCTTTTCCATGTAATAAAGGGAACATTTACAGGGACTTTAAACGGCCAAACAGGCACTATAAAAGTAGTCCATCTGAGTGGGGTGGGGTGGTCACACTGCACATTTAGTTCTGTGGACTTCCATTCATATGCATGCAAATGTGGAAGACCGGAAACTCAAGCTCATGCAAAGAAGTTTCACATTTTTATACATTCCAAAGTTCAGGAAACTTCTGTTTGTTATTTTTAAGTTTGAAATAAAAGGTGCCACAGAGCATGATGTCATATCAAGTGTGAAGAAATTTCACATTTTTTAAAGTCTAGTGCAGGGGTGGCGAACTCCGGTCCTGCTACAGGCAGGTGAGTTTTAATTAGGTTGAAGCAAAACTCTGCAGGGCTGCGGCTCTCCAGGACCGACGTTCGCCACCCCTGGTCTAGTGTGATCACTGATTTATGTGCCATATTCTAGTGTTTGTATATATAATTTTGGAGCTTTACATCCCTATTTACTCTCTCATTATATGTAAAAACTAAACAAAATGAAAGTTTTTCATGCAGTGGTAAATAATTACTATTTAATAGGGCTGTGCAAAAAATCGAATGCGATTTTCATGCAAATCTCGTCAGTAAAGCCGCTTCTGGTGATTAGTAGTAAATCTCCAGCACGTGCTTTCAGATGGAGCGGCATTTACTACACAGCCGTAGATCACTGACAAGCTACAACAGAAGCGGCTTTACTGACGAGATTCGCATGAAAATCGCATTCAATTTTTTGCACAGCCCTACTATTTAATGTCAAATCATCTTTCCGATTAAAGCAAAGGACCTGAATTGTTCTTTTTTTGCAGCTGGTTATAGTGCTAAAGAAAGAAGTCATCAAAACCAACAATGTGACTGAGCATGAGGACACAGACAAGTACAGGCAGCTGCTTGTTCGCACTCTCCACTCCTGTAGCGTGCGCTTCCCTGACATGGCAGCCAATGTCATCCCTGTGGTACGGCTGTTGAGTGAACACTCTGACCTCTTTTTATGCATTTCAGCTGTTTCAAAACATTAATTACTAGCAACAGAATTGATTAATGCAGCATTTTGTTATAAAACGAATTGAATTGAAATGTTCAGAATTGAACATTTACTGTTAATACATCTAGCCCTTTTAGATGTTCTCATGATTAACAAACTCACTGTTCTCATCTTTGCTCTTAAATGTACTATTTGTGTTTTGTGTGTGGCCACAGCTGATGGAGTTCCTGAGTGACACTAACGAGGCGGCCGCAGCCGACGTGCTGGAGTTTGTGCGTGAGGCGATTCAGAGGTTTGACAACCTTAGACCTCTCATCATTGAGAAGATGCTAGAGGTCTTTCACGCTATCAAGACGGTCAAGTAAGAAATGCTGCTTAACTGCTTCATTAGAAGTTTGATAATTTGCGTAAATCATCTGTATTAAATTGCGTAAATCATCTGTATTAAAAATTAATTGGTCTATTATTCTGGACTGCTTAATAGTACTTTGACTCGATTGGGGTTATAAAAGGGATCATGATGCATTGCAGTGATTTTAAACAAGGACTTTTCTGTTGCAGGATTTACAGAGGAGCTCTGTGGATTTTGGGTGAATATTGCAGCACTAAAGAAGACATCCAGAGTGTCATGACAGAAGTCCGCAGATCTTTGGGAGAGGTCTGTAGGGCAGCAGTTCATATTGCTTTCTTAAATTCAGGGCTCATCATTAACACCTGTCTGGAACAAGCAGCAAATTAACACCGTTAACATTAGTAAACATATTAAGTTGAATGAAATTGAGTCAAAGGCTTTAGGGTTCAATAGTGTTGTATTGGAAAATAAAAAGATGATGGTACTTCTCATGTTTCTGGAAATATCTGGAAATTTCACAAATGTGATTTCCAGGCCTGGAAAATTCTTGAAAATTAATAATATCTTAAAAGATCTGTACAGTTCTGTAGTCAATATGAAAGTGAGAAACTTTCTTTGGCTAGGAACTATTATAACGAGTAACGAGTGTGATCACTGTAAAATTCTTTTTCAAAACTAAAGATTACTTTACAAGTCATAGACGAGTTAATTTGTCAAAGTGTGGGATTCCTGAATGTAACATTATTTCTTCTACTAATAATATGTATAATAGTAATATATTAAAATATGCAGGTTTGCAGAAAAGTTCACAGTAGTGTATAATACACATATAAAACAACTAAAGTGTTCTAAAATATACAAAAAATGTGATAAGCATTCTTTATTAATGTTACTACACCTTACAGTGCTCTCAAACATTTGTTTTAAATTAAGATCTTTCTTTTTATTCAGATCCCTATTGTGGAAAATGAGTTGAAAAAGGAGGCTGGAGAGGTGAAACCTGAGGAGGAGGTGACTGCAGCTCCAGCTCCTAAGCTGGTGACAGAAATGGGCACTTACGTCACTCAGAGTGCCCTGAGCACCTCCAGACCATCCAAAAAAGAAGAGGATAGGTGATTATCCCCCCCTTACTGATACATTATGGAGATTATCCTCCGTATTACATTTCTAAATTATCCATTTATTCTGTAGGCCTCCTCTGAGGGGTTTCCTGATGAATGGAGACTTTTACGTTGCTGCCTCATTGGCCACCACCCTCACCAAAGTGGCCTTGCGCTATGTTGCCCTTGCCGAGGACAAAAAAAGGCAAAATGTAAGTTCATTTTAAAACAGTGACTAAACTCTAATTATTCATGTGTCTATTTGTGGTGGAATAAATGTTTTTTTTTTTCTGCCTTTAGTCATTTGTTGCTGAGGCTATGCTGATCATGGCCACTGTGCTCCATCTTGGCAAGTCATCTCTACCCAAGAAGCCCATCACAGATGATGATGTGGACCGGATCTCACTGTGCCTCAAGGTCCTGTCCGAGTGCTCGCCCCTCATGAATGACATCTTTAACAAGGAATGCCGCAGATCTCTGTCCCATATGCTCGCTGTCAGACTGGAGGAGGAGAAACTGTCTCAGAAGGTAAGCACGTTTCTGCATCGCTTCCTGGTAGTTAGTGAAATCAGAAACCTAATAATATAATTATAGTATTGTTATATCGATGTGAAGATATAGACAAACATATCGTCAGATCTTGTCTTACAGATTAAAAGCTGATCATTGCTCATTTATTTGTGACCATTATATTTAATCGTGGTGTTATTTGTTTCCCCCCCCCCCCTCAGAA